ACGGTGGGTGGTGATAACTAGCTATCTTTCATCTAGTCTTACACTGCTAAATTGGGGACGGCTAGCGCAGATAACCATCGTGTAGCTTTGAGCGAAATTCAAAACAAACAAACAAAAACAAGTTAAGTAAATGGTAATTGATACGGGACACTTAAGTTGTACAATTAGCATTATATAAGATTTAATTGCAAATACACAGTTGCAGATATTTTGCCACATCTCGTTTCGAAAGCACCATGTTAACAAAAAAGTTTGTTTTCAACATGTTTTTGTGACGAAAGAAACGATTCTCATTGTCGTTGTGACATTTGGTTCGCTGTAATAAGGACAAAATGTAACTTTAATAGAACATAAAGATAGCAGTAGGTTGTTATAGATAGTATAGTCATAAGATTTTGCATGAAATATACAGAAGGTTGAGTATGTTATATTAAAACGTATTTGAATATGGAAACCAGTAAGTCACATGACACCCACGTGATACAATATAAAGATGCGAAAGAACGAAACGTATCAGAACTACTTTTTGACATTGGAGTTATATAGGTAGTGTGATTTCACCGATAATTAATCGCTTTGGGAAGGCAACACTGAGCAACATAATCAAAAAGCTACACAATGTGCTATTTGTGATCTGCCCACTACGGGTATCGAAACCCGGTTTCTAGTGTTGTAAGTCCGCAGACATACTGCTGTGCTACTGTGGGGCTAGTTGTAGATATGTTTGCATATTCATGGTTTATCGCACTTCATAAGAACAATTTGCATTTTATTCGGCTTTACCTAAGAAGTTAATATACTTTTGAAGCTCTAGTGTCACTAGTGATGTGTCAAACTTTTATTTTTGGCTCACGGCAAATTCTCGAATACGATCTTAGATTGAGTTAAGGCTGAAGAAATATTATAATCCCATTTTCAAGGAAGGATTTTTGTATAGCTAATTTATTAACCAAAGAACACAATATTTTAAATAAGGGAGTCTACAGTGCTATCCATAGAAGCGGAAAAGCTCGTTCACTAAAGCGTTTATGATAGCAGTGAGCTCCATAACCCAATTTAATACGGAACGACAGTAACGTTTGCAAAATGAGGTCTGTGGCTGGAAGGAGAATCCTCCGACCTAAAAAATGTCGCAGCTACTGATATTGTTAACAAATTAATAAATAGGGGTTTGAAGTTAACCAAGGTTTACAAGCGAAGAGTTCACAAGCATTCAGCCATATTTCATAATCAACAGACTTTTATAGGGATAAAAATAGTATAAGAATTTGGAATTACACCCATTCCATTCGAACACCCCCCCCCAATAGCACAGCGGTATGTCTGCGGACTTACAACGCTAGAATCCGGGTTTCGATACCCGTGGTGGGCAGAGCACAGATAGCCCATTGTGTAGCTTTGTGCTTAACTTAAAAAAAACAAAAAAAACATTCGAACACATACTTGTCAAGTTCTATAATGCAGCTCCTAAGGATTTTTCTGTTTGGGTCTGTTTAAATATGGAAAGATTGCAGAAAGTTTGCGAAATATGGAAATATAATATGCACATTTTATGTTTAGTCGAATAATATGTAGAAGGTCTCTATGAACCATAGAACTCTATGTTTACAGCTGGTTTCCCTTTAAGAGTTTTTTTTGTATTTTAGTGGAAACAAATGATCTGTCTTGTGATTTAAAACATTGTTTTTAATAGAGACTAGGATAGAACTTACAACTTCATTTTCTGTTTCAGATTCTGAGTTTGTGGTCACAGGACTGGTTGGAGAGAAAGTCGATCTACCCTGTAATGTAGACGTTGGAGCATGTGGAGATGTATATTTTGTAACCTGGACTAAAAACGTTTCCAATGAGTGGAAACGGTTATACTTGTACAGTGATCCTGTGGAAAAGCCACTACAGGAGTTGGCTAATCCGGATAGAGCAGATTTTTATGTTCATGATTCTACTGCTTATCTAAGGATTTCTCCTTTGAAGATTGAGGATGAAGGAAATTACAAATGTGACGTCACTTACGTTCAAGGAAAGTGTCCCTCTCTGTCGTATGCTTCTCTAACTACAATGGGTAAGTAATCATCATTTTGCAGTGAGTACTTTTTCCTATTTACGTCTCAAATACTTCTTCTTATAATTTCTTTTCAGGCACATTGTGCTACTATATCAAGAGTAAAAAGCACATAAACCGACGTTTTAAGGCACAGGGAAATGTAAACTCTTTATTATTAGTTACTGCCGACTAGTTTCGATAACACAGTTACCATCATTAGGACTAGTATTTAGAGTGTTAATTTAGCATATATTCAGCTACAAACGACTTATAGAATACTTGCACCTAGTGACTAGAGAATATTTGATGTTAGAAGTCAAACGATCAGACTGGTTTGAAGTGAGGCTTTGCATAGGAGAATGCTTCCTATTTTTGTCTTGTATGTTCAACGCTGTTCTGGATTACGTGCTGCGCCTGGTGAACAAATTAGTCCAGCGACAAGATGTAAGAGCGAAAGACATCATGATCCGATATCTAGAATTTGCAAGTGATGTTACAGCTCTGTTTGCATCATCTATCACGGTGTTATCCACTCTCCTCAGTTGTACAGCTGAGAAACTCGGCTAGGAAGTAAGTGTTTCAAAGACATAAATGAGTGAAATTTACTAGGAATAAGAGCTGGAGAAGAGATTGAAATTTTGGAATAAAAATATTGAGACAGATCACAATTTTATGTATTTGAGAAATGAGGTAGAAGAAAAGAAAGGATCAAACTCACAACGGATAATGTTTTAATAGTACCATTGGTGTTGTATGGGCAGGAAGCTGGACAAGGACAAAACTGCAGGATAATTTCATAGGTCAGGGTCTAGGACGGATTTCAGAAATATGTTGGAAATAGAGGATGTGAAAAGGGAAGATACGAAGAATTAATGGACAAAGGAGATTGAGTGAACTAGCAGAGGGGAAGTGTTTGATCTGCACAGTTAGAACAAGTGTGGAGGAACAAAACTTTCCAGTATGATGTAGAGATAGCAATTACTCAGAAAGTGACAAAGAGGAAGACTAAAAACATAACGGAAAGCTGGCATAAGGGCAAGGCTGAAAAGGGGAGGAATCTACGGAACCTAGCAGACCATTCATAGTACAGAACAGCATGGGGAAGATTAGACGGACTGTAGAATGTGAAACCTAACCGGTAAAATTTTCTGAACATTTACAAGATCGAAAGACAAGTGTTATTCTGTCTTGATAATCTGAGCTGTTGTCCTGTAATCAGTTTGAGTTTTTCTTTTTAATAAAGTTCATCACATTTAAACGTGTGTTAATTATTAAATAACTAAAGCACTTCTAAGATGATAAGTATGCAACCCTATTTTTATGTATATAGAAAGTATTTCTAAACGTGCTCTATACATTATCTTTAGTATTCAATGCAAACTTTATATCAAGTTATTCGAAGGAGCTTAAAACATTAATCCTTTCCGTGTTTTTAAGTCACTATAGGGTCAGTGCTTCATTTTAGTTTCTTTTGCACAATTGGATGAGAATGTTTTCATATTCAACATGGAGTGGGTGCCAGTTCATTGAAGTGCTATTAGTGCCCATTTTACAGCCGGAAAGACTGAAGCCAATTTTGGTTGAAGTGTTTACTCAAGGACACAAATGGAATGGTAAACGTTGAGACCACAACCTGTCGATTATAAGTCCAATACTGTGGTAATAAGCTTTTCTTCTATATTTTCACATGAATGGAATGTGGGTGTTTGCTTTGAAAGTCTCATGTGTACAATGATTTCTTTCATATTTATGAGAAGAGCTTCCGTTTCTGACGAAGCATTTCCAGATTGTGTTAGTTTATTACTTAAATGTGTTATGGATATAATAATACTGCATATTACATAAATGCTTCATTAGAAGTCTCTTCCATAAATTCATTATGCTTAGCGTTTTTGTTCATGAATTTCTGCGATGTGGAGTTCAAACTGATATTTTAACCAGGAATACAGATGCCGGGTTTTATCAGAAACCGGTGATCCAAAGTTTCTTGTAGTAATAAGGGTAGGAGGAAACTTTATTACAGTTAATCAAAAAAAATCTAAAAGTTATAAAATAATAAAACATACTTACGTATTGTTTGATTGAAAAATTATAACTCCTTATACAATATAATGTTACGTGTAAGCTACCATCTTCAGATTATGTATTTGTATTTTCAATTTTCAGGCATAACTATTCATCAATGTACGCCGTCTACACAACTACTTTGGACTAAATAGCGGGATTGGTTGTCACAGTAATAACGCCCTCACAGCTGAAAGTACAGAATGTTTTCAGCAACTTTGTCGCGGCTCGAAAATTCGTCTTTACGATTCACAGCCCAGCATGCTAAACACTAGACCATACTCGATCTTACGTCTTAAGAATATGTGATGAAATGATATTTCACCACAGAGAATATATAATAGAAAACCACAGACATATCTAAGAGCCAGTTTTTCTAAATATTAGCTAGATATTTCAATGGGGGAAATTTATTATGCTTTCAAATTTCTTTTTGTTTCTTTTAGCTTTTTGAAAAATACGAGCACGTACAACAACACCGGTGAATGATCTACTGCATAATGTGACGTATAAACATTCTCCACTAAAGTATTGTGGCAGATCAATCTCGCTCATTTCTGATAGCAAATCTTAATAAGTTTTTCTCTTCTATGTTTCTTTTTGGTTGGCAACGATGAGGTTCAATAAATGCTGGATAACATAGACGTGGTTCTCAAAGATATTTTGATCAATATTTCAAGATTTCCATGAACGCTTAACTTCATTTTACTTTCCTGTAAAGAACAATGAATGTGTATTTTTCAACTTCTGAGCTGCACGAATAAACAAGTGGCTGGAATTATTTCTATATCTCATGTGATTTTTGCAGATGGTTAAGAAAAAAAAACGTATTTTTTTGTTCTGCATAAAATATAACGCTTGGTTGAAACTAAGCGAGCATATATTTGTTAAAAAATACGTAATAATTTTAGTTATATAGCTACAATAGGAAAGGCCAAGTTTGTTTACCTAAAACTTTGAAAGTAAATCATTATGAGAAGTTTAGTTATCTAATTCGTAAGCTTACTATATTTGTAGTGGCACTCATAATTCTGATACTGCGTTTCACTCTACTTGTATTAAGATGATCAATATATATATTAGTGTTGTTTATTTGTTCATCAGAAAAACCTTTCCTCTTATCATCTTACAATATTTTTCCATCTATTCATTTATTTTCCGATAATCACGAATATGATAGTGAATGTGGAAAATACTCAAATAGAATCTTGCCTCCTGTTACAAATAATTCTTTGTTAATTCATTCGGGTTCTATTGTGAGACAGAAAGTAAGTTATTTGATTTCCTTTGAGGAAATGCATTAATTTCTCTTAGAAGCCGCCATTCTTTTGTATAGCAATATTTAGAGAGGCTTTAGACCATGTTCTGCTACTTTATTGTTGTGGCTCAAGCACTTGCTCAAATAGAAAATGTTAGAGGTTACTCTTTTGAATTAACTTATTTTTCAACTTTGCTTTTAAAAGTAAATTTTGAATAACTAGCAGAAAAGTTTTAGTAACAGTACTTTTAGTATTAAAAACTTTTTACCTATAAATCGAAAAGGAAGATATGAAATAACTGACCTGTTATTTTAGTTTCTTAATATTGTCATCTTATATATTCGAATTCTACACACTTTATTTTACTTTCCCACGAAAAGTTTGTTATTTTGATTATCTTATTTTGATAATCCTAGTCTGTTTCAGATTATGTTCTCATTCCATCCTGTTAACAAAAGCGATTTTGTTTGTTTGTCTTTTATAGCAAAGCCACATTGAGCTATGTACTGTGTCTGCCGCGGAGAATGGAACCTCGGATTTTTGAATTGTAACTCCGTAAACTTACCGCTGTCCCACAGGGGAATAAACTCAATTTTGAATGTGAAATATAACAAATAATTGTTTCATTTTTAAATCCAATGTTCACAGAAAAAATTAACATAGTATAATTTACATGAAGACAAAATAACAAATATTTTGAAGACAGAATATTGAATTTCTGTTTTGAATAATAATTCCTCCTTTTTCTGTTTTTTTTTAGGAAAACGATAAATTGTTATAATTAAATTTTTAAAAATTTTACTGTGATTTTTAATTGATTTATTTTTAATATCTTGCTTTATTTTGTCACTGAGTTACGAATTTTAGACTTTAGTTTACATTTTGCATTATTTCATGTTAAACACGTATACAATAACTTATCTATATGTATGTTTTTTTTTGTCTTACACAATTCGAATACAATTTACTAAGCCACCATATCCAACTAAATTGGATGTAATATTTGTTGTACAACAAACATGAATTAGTTTGTACTTATAACAGGGTTAATCAACTTAAAACATATTTAGTTTTAAAGTGACTGTGAATCAAGTAGCATAAAATATGACTACTGTACTGTAGTTTTGTTATATAATTTTCTTACCTGTAGTTCAAGTAAACAGTATATGTTATTCATATATTTAATTCTTAATGGATAAATGAGTATATATTTCTTACCTAAATTGTGAATAAATATAAATCACTCCATGTTGTATGTTCACCTGTGCATGTGAGCTTGCCACTCCTATAATTCATATATTGAAATTGTGAAAAATGAAGTGGTGAAACGAAAGAATAAGTCGGTTAAATTAATTTTGCTAACAATAACTCTATTAGTGTTTTCAAAATAAATTAATACAAACTTAATTCCTATATTGTCATATTATGAAAGATATTTACACACGTCAGTGGTGAAGCACTTTCTTTCAGTCATGAATATTCAACTTAAATACATCAAACCCAATTTGTCGTGCTAGAAAATCATTACAAACTGATTGTATCTCAAGAATCTCCACCCTAAAACATTGAAATCTACACATTCTGGAAAGAGCATTATCGGTATGGCATGTTTAAATGTCACACTGAGAATGTCGAAAAATGTCGTTCTCAATAAACATAATAATAATAATAAAAATATATGACAGACATTTAACT